GGGACATGGGTGGTGGTCAAAATTAGGGGATCCCTTTTGGGGTCCTTTAAAGGGTTCCTTAAGGGGATCTATAAGGGTTCTATAAAGGGTTTAGGGTGCAGGGACATGGGTGGTGGTCAAAATTAGGGGATCCCTTTTGGGTTCCTTTAAAGGGTTCCTTAAGGGGATCTATAAGGGTTCTATAAAGGGTTTAGGGTTTAGGGACATGGGTGGTGGTCAAAATTAGGGGATCCCTTTTTGGGGTCCTTCTTATAATACGGCACCTATTATTTAGGGTATACCCAAAAAAGGGACCCTAATTTTGATCCCTTTTTGGGGTCCTTAGTATAATACGGCACCTATTATTTAGGGTACCCAAAATGGGACCCTTATTTTGACAACCACCCACATTAATGTAGGGGCCTCCTTCTTCGTCTGCCCTGGGCGAAAGGTCCAAGGGACGTGTCCATTGCTGAATGAATTCGAGAGTGAGGGGTTTTAATAATTCGAACAAGGTTCCTTTTGAAGGCCCTGTAAATGGTTCCATGAGGGATCTATAATAGGCTTCTATATTAGGGGCCTTAATAATTAGCATAGGGCTTTGGGGCCCACTATACTATAATTATAATAAGGAGCCCTTAAAACAGTAGTAGCCCATATAATCCTACATGACATCCTGGAAGGGTGCACAAAGCGTCTCGCGCCCTTTCTGGTCTTCTTCCTCTGGGGCACCAACGAAACTGGATTTTGGTTTGTATCGTGTCGGATGCGCACTTTGAGCTCTGCGAGCACACCAAACAGCTCATGCCTGCCTCGGGCACGACCGTCGATTGATGATATAAATCCTGCATTACCTTTAGGACCCTAAACTATGGGAATTATGGCATTTTCCTCATTGTGGGTAATGCAGGATGTATATTATCAACCGTTTCAGGTAAAGTTCGAGTCCTCGCAACCTGCCGCCGTTGCCAGGGCAGGGGAGGTGCCCTTACTGCATGGAGGATTCACCAAGGGTGCTATAAGGGTTCCTTTAAGGGATCTGTAGGGCTCCTTTAATGGATCTATAGGGTTTAGGATTCAGGAATCAGGGTTTACTGTCTGGTTCTTAGTAGGGAATGGGGGAAATTGGTTATGGGAACTACTATTGAAAATTATATAGGGACTACTATAAGGATCCATCCCCCCATTCCCTTCTAAGCACCAGACAGAAGCATTCGACAGGCCCGTAGACACTCAACCGCTACACTTGCAGACTTACACCTACATCGATTCATGCACTGAAACATCATTCTGAAATCTAGAGGTCCGGGCGTGCTGGCGTGTGCGCCATCCTGATCACCTCGCAAAGCACAATCTCTCTGATTTACTCCATGTCTCACTTGCTACCTCTTCAACGTGAGATCGCCGTTTGCCATGAAACTCCCAACAAGAGAGAACGATCTGCGGACCCATGGATGTATGTGACTCGTGTGACCCTCCCACTGCACATGTGCCTGCCATGCGAAAACACGCATGCGTGTTCTGTGTGTGTGTGTGCGCTTACATCTGTCTGGATGACTGGTCGACTGCATGTGCCCACGAGAAGGCTGCAATTAAGCTGCACAGAACCCTTACAACGAAAACCTTGAGAGTACCCTCATAGTATCCTTTATAGTAAGCCTTTATATTCGTGACCTGAAGCACACGGCAATATGCCGCGGGCTCTCTCGCTGAAGGCTCCCCTCATCAAAAGTCAGGATCCCAATGCCCCAGAATTCTGATTGGGTTCAACAGTTAAGGCTTAGTTTGGGAAGAGGATGGCAAGTTTGGCTTGCGGTCATTTGATGTCATTCGCTTGCCATGGGCTCTGCAGGCACGGGGAGCTGGCATACACACACTGGCCACTACTCCACAGAAGCATGGGCCAAGGCATACATGAGCTTTGTTCGGGAACAGCGCCGCCGTTGGCTACTCCTTAAAGAACGAAAACTTGGAAACATCCCAATCTCAGCGAAGGCCAAGCCTTGTCGGCGTTTTCGAAGCTATCTGCGATGACTCCGCTGGATTGACCTGATAAGAAGCAGAACGGCAGTGCCGGGTATACATTTGCTGCCCTGATTTTCCGTTTAACTAGCGAGATTCTGCCGCAACGGCAACTGAAGTCTTGACTGATGAGCAAACAATCTAAGGTTAAATGCGCATGAATGCAGCACGTGTTTAAAACGGCAGCACTCCTCACACTGCTCGAGCACCTAACTGCAAAACCTCTGCCACCACAGCTTCGAACTTATCTGATACCACCGAACACTACGGAAACACGCTCCATATTCCTAAACCCTAAACCCTAAACCCTAAATCCTGAATCCTAAACCCTAAACCCCAAACCCTACAGAACACGCTCCCAAAAAGACAGCCATCTCTATCCAGTCGATGAGACCTCCGAGTCGTACGATGCCGTGACCACCCAAGGCTCCCTAACTCTCCTGCAACAATAGTAACAACAACAACAACAAGGTACAAACAAAAACTGCAGCCCCGTCAACCCATATATCTGCTTCTTGTCTGTACATTAGGTAGAGACAAAAACAGGAGCCCCGTCATGTTGTTTTACCCCCGCCCCCCCCCAACAACAACAACACAGTGCCTGTGGATGCCTGTGATGCATACTGTTTGGTGTGTATTTTCAATGGATTTCGTCTGTACTTCAGTGGATTTGGTGTGTATTTCAGTGGATTTGGTGTGTATTTCACTGGATTTCGTCTGTACTTCAGTGGATTTGGTGTGTATTTCAATGGATTTCGTGTGTATTTCAATGGATTTCGTGCGTATTTCAATGGATTTCGCATGTATTTCAGTGGATTGCGCGTGTATTTCAATGGATTTGGTGCGGAGTTCAGTGGATTTGGTGTGTATTTCATTGGATTGTGTGTATTTCAATGGATTTCGTGTGTATTTCAATGGATTTCGTGTGTATGTCAATGGATTTGGTGTGTATTTCCATGGGTTTGGTGTGTATTTCAGTGGATTTAATGTGTATTTCGGTGGATTTGGTGTGTATTTGGTGTGTAGTTCAGTGGATTTGGTGTGTATTTTCAATGGATTTGGTGTGTATTTCAGTTCCCCGCCGTGCAGAATATGCATTTGCGAGGCCTGTACAAACTACTGTATAGGAACTGGTAACTATACTTTTGAGTGTGCGGGTATCCAATGCAAACCCCTCAAAATTCCAGACAAGCCCTTCCAACACCCATCAGAACCCCTTCTGGATATCGCAGATTCTTATACCTGTGGTGGAAATGTGGCGTAATGTGGGCGGTTGTTGTAAAGGGGGGGTGGTCAAAACAACAGACGGGGCTCCAGTTTTTGCCTCTACTACAGGGGGTAGAGACAAAGTCCTGATTTCGCCGGTGCCTTTGTCTCTACCCCGTGTAGTAGAGGCAAAAACTGGAGCCCCGTCTGTTGTTTTGACCCCCCCCCTTTTACAACAACCACCCAGCCTACACCGCATTTCTATCATGGGGCAGGCATGGCTTGAACTTCCCAAAACTCTACAGGCACCCTATGCGGTCGCCGGAAGCATTCCCAATTGCTTCTAATTAACAACAAGTACGGGCTGCTGTTTTTGTCTGTACCAACAACAACAACAATAATAACAATAATAATAGTAGCAATAACAGTAATAAAAGTAATCATAGTAATAATTGTAATAATAGTACTAATTGTAGTAATTATAGTAATTGTAGCAATAATAGTAGTAGTAATGATAATGATAATAGCAATAAACTTAAAAAACATAATGGTAGTCCCTGCTTTGGCCGGGCGGCTGGTTCGCCTTGACCCTTTGCTGCTGGTCTGGGATGCTCGGCGCGGGGCCTTGCACGGTAACTCCATGGGTGACGGAGTCGATGCATCCAGTATTAGGGAGGAGAGGGTTTAGGGGTTCAGGGGTTTAGGGTTTCAGGGTTTAGGAGTTTAGGGGTTTAGGGGTCCAGGATTTAGGAGTTTAGGGTTTAGGGTATAGGGTTTAGGCTTTGAGACAGGAAATCTTCGAAAGGAAGGCCCATCTGACAGATCATGCACCAGCTCTCAACCCCGGCCTCTTCTTTGGGCTGCCTTGGTGGTTCAAAGACGAAGATAACGAGGCGGCAACATGGGGAGTTTCCGAAAATTAGGGGTACCTTACTTTGGAGTCCTTACAATAAGGATCCTACTATTTAGGGTACTACATCAAGGTCCCCTATTTTCGGAAATTCCCATGAGCTGGCAACGTTGACGAACCACTGTGAGGCCAGGAAAAATGCGAAACCTGTGAGTCATGCGAACTGGGTTCTGAGAGATAAACCCTAAATCCAAAACCCTAAATGCCTAGAACCCTAAACCCCTAGAACCCTAAAGACACTCCAGCAAGTCCAAAGCCCAATGATTGCAAGATGCAGCTGAACGACGAAGCTAATCAAGAGTTGACACGCAATCGAATCTGAAAGCATCCAAACACAATTACGAACTGTGAACTCAATCACAACAGTGTGATCACACTGCTTCCAGCCTGACCAGCGGTGTAAAGAGGCCACACACGAACAAGCTGCGCACTGCAAAGTGCCTACAGTTCCAGAAGACCAGCAAACACCTTCAGCAAAATGAACTCATGTTGCAGGTGAAAGCCTCGTACCCTGGCAGAATTCATGACGAACATTTTGATTGCAAGCCATCTAGCCGACTCGACAAGTGAAGCGTAGCTCAATTTCATCGCCACAGCAGTCGCAAAGGCATTTTCCTAACTGTCTGGCTGGACGCCATGAACAACAAGGACCCTTGTGCAAGGTGAGTTGCTGATAGTAGGGGAAGGCTGAAAGCTCTGGTGTGTTGGGGTCTGACCTAAACCCTAAACCCCCCTAAAACCCCTAAACCCCCCTAAACACCCCTAAACCTTAAGCCTAAGCCCGAAACCTAAACCCTCAACTCTAAACCTAAACCCTCAGCCCTCCTCGACCCTGAGCCTGAACCCAAAAACCTGAACCCGAAACCCCAAGAGGCCGAGAAGCTCGTTGGGGTTGAGGACCGGCGCGGTGTGCCAGGAGCCCGTCAGCTCCCAGTGGTGCAAGACAGCACCGCCAAGCACGGCGCTGCAGTGATCCTCGACCTCCTGGAGCTGCTGTGAGGGTTTAGGGTTTAGGGTTTGGGTTTGTATGTTATAGTCTGTTACGCTTATGTATAATGGTATATGGGAGCACATTATCGGGAGCTGCGTTTAGAAGGCTTTGTATATGATCGTCTGTTGTAATATATAATGGAATTGTAGTGTGTATTATAATCTATTTTATTATAAAGTGATCTATCGGAGCATATTATAATGCATATTATAGTCTCTGGTCATATTAAAGAACGATATTTTGGAGCATAGGATAATGCATATTATAGTCTGCTAGAAGGAACGGGAAGCGATCCAACTCGTCCCTTCAGGAAGGAAGCACCGAACAGCGCTGATCACCGGCTAGTACCCAACAGACTGGTCTTCTAGCACACAAAAATAGGGGCCTTAACATTTAGAAGGGTTTAGGGTTTACGGCTTAGGGTTTCGGGTTCTAGGGTTCAGGGTTTAGGGTTGAGGGTTTAGGGTACCCTCAAAAACAGTCTCGGTTATGAGTGAAGTCCCTACACCACAGCACCGGACATTCCGGCCCCTCCTCCTCCCGCGAGAACTTCGTCGTGACCGGGCTCATGAGGTCCTTCGGTTGATGATAGGGTTCCTTTAAAGGGATCTATAAGGGTACCTTTAAGGGGCTCCTTTAAGGGATCTATAGGGGGGTTTAGGGTTTAGGGTTGATGATATAAACCCTGCATGACCTTAAGGACCCCAAACTATGGGAATAATGGTACATTCCTTATAATGGGTAATGCAGGATTTCTATCATCAACCGTTGCAAGGCGCGTTGAGAGCAACTGCCAAGAGTGCCGGAAATCTTTATCAAGAGTCCTGACATAGGGGCCTTAATAATTAGAATAGGCTGGTGTAGATTTTTCTATACCGTTAATGATAAGGAACCAAAATAGTATAGGTAATTTGTTTAATTAAGCCCCTATATTAACCCTAAAAGGAATCTTAAACCCTATATTCACCCCAAACCGAAACCCTAAACCCTAAACCCCAAACCCTAAACCCTATACCGAAACCCTAGACCCTAAACCCTAAACCCCCAGACCCTAAACCCTGTCGTAACCCTACTTAAAGGATCATGGGACTTAGTAATTAAGGGCACTTATAACCCTACTTACTAAGTCCTATGATCCTCCAAGTAGACCGAAACCCTAAACCCTAAACCGAACCCCAGACCCTAAACCCTAAACCCCTAAACCCCTAAAAAGCGAAGCCGTGGGTCCTCGTTGCTACCGTCGCAGCGCATCCTCCGCAGCCTCCTCACCTCTCAGCAGGTTCTAGGGCCCTCTAAGGGGGCTAGGGCTTTTAGGGAGTTTAGGGGTTTAGGGTTTACGGTTTAGATTGTTAGGATTTAGGGTTTTAGGGGTTCAAGGTTTAAGGTTTCGGGGTTTAGGGGCTAGGATTTGGGGTTCACAGCTTCGGGTTTAGGGGTTAGTCTTGTGCGTTTGGGGCCCAACCTGACCACCAAACCCTAAACCATAACGCCTGAGACAGCCTAAAGCCTTCAACCTAAACCCGCCCGAAGACGCTAAACCCAAAAATCCAAGGCAAAAAGCCCGCCCCAGCATAATAGACGGGCTTTAATAACTAAGAGGGTTGCGGGGGTGTGCTATACTACGTTCATAAGAAGGAGCCCTGAATGTGGTATTCTTCAGCCTCCGATATGAGATCCCTACAATACCTATCGTAGTGTTCTAGAACCCTTGAAAGGAACCCTTGTGCTATCAGTTGTAGCACTTACAGCAACCTTCATAGAGCCCTTTGAAGGAACCCTTAAACCCCAAACCCGAAACCCTGTACCCGAAACCCAAGAGAACGTCACGAACGAGGGGCTTCCCTTGGAATCAGCTGCTCAAAAGTAGCCAGCGCAGAGGCCTCGGTGGGCTTTTCGGGTTTCGGGATTGCACTAGTTATAAGGCTTCCTTTAAGGGTCCCTTTAAAGGGGTCTATAGGGATTCTATAAGGGTATAGGGTTTAGGATTCTACTTGGAGGTTTCATGGGTAGGGGTTTAAGGTTTGGGGGAGCGTGGCTTCGTTTAGGGGCGGGGGGGGTTTAGGGTCTCGGGTGTTGGACAAGTTGGGGGTTGGGGATCGTAGGTTTTGGGGTTTAGGTTTCAGGGTTCAGGGTTAAGGGTTTAGGGGTTCAGGGTTTAGGGTTTACGGTTTAGGGTTTAGGCTTTTAAGGTTCAGGGTGTAGGGTTCAGGGTTTACGGTTTAGGGGTTCAACGTTTAGGGCTTAGGGTTTAGGTTTAGGGGTTCAGGGTTTACGGTATAGGGTTTAAGCTTTTAGGGTTCAGGGTGTAGGGTTCAGGGTTTACGGTTTAGGGGTTCAGGGTTTAGGGTTTACGGTTTAGGGTTTAGGGGTTCAGGGCCCTTGTGATTTGGGTCTCAATGTGCTCCCTGTGAGGCCAAGCCTCGGACAATGCTGCGCTGTGTTCGAACCAATACATTTCGAACCCATTACGTTCTGGAACTGGCTGTCGGCTTAACTTACCTTTGGTTAGTAGGGAATGGAGGCATGGGGTACAATTATAACTAATATTACTACCATTCTTCCATTCCCTACTAACCAAAGGTAAGTTAAAGCACCTTCGGCTGAGCTCCCAACTCCAAAGGTTCTTGACTTGCTCAGCCCTTAGCCCTAAGCCCTGGACTCACTTTTTCGGTGGCCTTCCTGGTGCCGAACCCTAAACCCTAAACCCTAAATCCTAAACACTGAACCCCAAACCCTAAACCCTGCCGAGTGGCCGGAGGATTCGGCTGGTCAAAGGTGTCGAAGAGCGTGGATTGCAAGGACTGGACCACTGCAATCTGCCCACTCCGAGAGTAAAAGGAGGGACCCTTAATAAGGACCTCTAGGTATATACCCTCAATATAGCTATTATATACCCATTATATAGCCCCTTATCGGGTAAGGGTCCCCATTAAGGGTCCCTCCTTTTCCCCTTTGACCCGCAGGGCACAGGTGGCTTAGGTTGGCTAAGGCTTTTCGGGGTCTAGGGCAGTCTAGGGCAGTCGAGAGTTTGGGGTTTTAGGGTTTTAAGGATTTAAGGTTTTAAGGTTTTAGGGCTTTAGGGTTTTAGGATTTTAAGGATTTAAGGAGTTGAGGCTTTAAGGTTTTAGGGTTTTAGGGCTTAGGCTTCACGGTTTTAGGTTTTGGGGGGGGTCTCGGGAGCTAGCTCTTCCCGGGCTTACGGCAGTGGAATCTGCAGCCGGTGCATGAGATTGAGACTGAGATCACCGTGACGGCGAGAGTTTCGGTAGGGCATCTCCTGTCAGTTACAATCTGCTATGCCATACTACTCTGTACTATCTCATGTTCGAGCATCTTATAGTATACGTAGTACAGTCATTCCAGCATAGTGTAGTATAGTTTAGTTTAGTACCGTCCCCCACCTTCTCTTGCAAGGCATTCAGTTGCTGGCCACTTGTGGATGATTCCGCAGCGGCATCCAGGATCACCCTGAGACGCTCGGAAATGCCAACCCATATTCTATGGGCTTCAGCTATTGCAAAAAAGCTTAAGGGGTCGAAAAGGGTTCTATTGCAAGGCTTGTGTGAGGCGTAGACAATGGGACCTCAAAAGCTAGACTAAGGCTTTGGGCTCAAACCCCAGCAACCCTTCCCGCACGCAGCGTGTATGCCCAGACCTTCCAAAATCCCTTAAAGTTGGGGCCTTAGTATTATGATGTAATGTATATTCCTGAATTAAGGGGTATTGGGTTCTTTGGGTATGCACCCAGGGGCCGGGACCAACCTGTTTATGCGAAGGATCTTGCACGAAAAGCTGCCGCAAAGATGCCTCCTCGAAGACCTCACGCCTAGCAGCATAGAACTAATTACTAAGACTATCCCCCTATAGTCCCTCTATGTATGGCCACAAGTAAGCCCCGAAACCATACACTATGCATTAAAAACCGAAAACTCCCCCAGAATAGGACCCCAATAGAGGGACCCAACCCTAAACCTTTAAACCCTAAACTTTGCCTTAAGCCCTGACTATACTTCTAACTACTTATAACTCCGGTTAAGGTACTTATAACCTTACTTACTAAGTCCTCCCCCAAGTAAACTTTGCCCTAAACCCTACTTGGAGGGTCGGGGGACTTAGTAACTGGTTATTTTAGGGACTTATAAGTACCATGACCCCAATTAGGGTCCCTTTTAGGCTACTTATAAGTCTACTTACTACCTACTTACTAAGTCCCATGATCCTTTAAGTAAGCCCATCTCTTGAAGGCTCACGATCGCCGAGGATCGAATCTCTTTCAAGCAACTCAGAAGCTCCTCAGATGGATCTACAGGGAACTCCAGAAAGTTGGAATATGGTTTCAGGGTAGGATACCTTATAATTTACCATAAAGGGTTTAAGATAATCATATTCCAACTTTCTGGCTTTTACTTTAAGGGTTTAGGGTTTAGGAATTTAAGGATTCAGGGTTCAGGGGTTTAAGGATTTGGGGTGTAGGGATGAAACAGGATTTAGGGTCTAGGGATTGAAGGATTTAGGGTTTGGGGATTGGGGTTTAGGGTCGGGGTTTAACGGTTTGGGGGTCTCTATAAATCACAGCCTTCTCTCTTCGATTATGCAATCGTGTAGTACAGTTTAGTCTGGTACGATATAGTAGAGTTTAACATACCATAGCATAAAATAGTAGAGCAGAGTCTATTGGAGTAAACTACAGTAAAGCAGAGTCTGCAATATTCAATTTTCCTCATAATATCTTACTACAGTACATTACAGTGTTGTGTATGATTCTGACCTGCTTTCTATGTTGTCCTAGTACAATATACATTGGTAGACACAGATACACATGTAGCTACAAAACTAGATACAGACACAGGTATAGTTCTAGATACAGGTTTAGATAGATACAGATGCAGATAAGATATAGATATAGAAATAGATACACAGTAGACTGTACTATGGTCTGTTATATTATCGTTTTTATACTCTGTTACTTAAAACTACATACTATGTTTTGTATAACAGCCTGTATATTGCACTAATATTTGTGGGACATACTCTATCTATATATATATATACACACACACCAGGTTATATCTTTTGTAGTGTAACACATTGTGCTATATGTGAAAGTAAACTTTTGTATATATTTTATCTACCACGTTCCATTTTCCATGTTATTCCATTTTACATTCTATTCTGCTATGTTATACTGTCTCACATTTATGTTATGAAACTGTATTACACCATACCAAGCTGTACTAAGGTAAGACCAACCTGTGGTATATCATATTGAACCATGTCGTATCATCCTACGCCATAGGGTAGCATTTATCTTGCTTTCTGAGGCTGCGGGTGGGTCACCTTCGAATCTACAACCTTACGGACTCGTACGTCGGAAACCTTAAACCCCGGATCCCAACCCCTAAGCCCTGAACCCTAAACTCCCAATCTCCAAACCGCAAACCCTGAACTCTGAACCCTAAATTCTCCGATCGCGAAGATTAGGCAGGAGTCGCATCGCTTTGTTGAGCTCAACGCGACCTCAATTGGGGCAACTGGGCTGTCAATCGGCTTTCGCGTTTGGGGTTAAGGGTTCAGGTTTTGTCATAGGCTTTAGGGTTTAGAAGGTCTAGGGTTCAGGGTTTTCCGAAAACTGGGGAGCTAGAAAACAGAACCGACACAACAGTTGAGCTCGAACATCTAATATAGGGGCCGTACGTAATAATTAGAATAGAGTTTTGCGGCTCATTATACTATACTTGTCATAAGGAACCCCCGAAATAATGTAGGTAATGATTAAGGCCCCTATGTTGCAAACTGACTTCGAGCTCTGCAAAGGCGAGAGACGGTTCAGGAAGGGCTCGCCCAACTCCAAGCGCTTGGTGTCTTCCTGCTTGGAAGATCATAGGACTTAGTAAGTAAGGCTATAAATATAAGGTAACAATACATGTAAGTACTTAAAACTCCAATTAAGGTACTTATAACCTTACCTACTAAGTCACTAAGTCCCATGATCCTCCAAGTGGTCATTCGAACGAGACGAAAAAGCCGTGAATAAAGATGCCAAGGTATGCAGAGACTGCACACTCCCTCTGGGAGAATGACCCTAAACCCTAAACCCCCATGTAACTTCTTCCCAATTCGATCGGTACCTTGAATCGGGCGAACAAGGTCGCGGCTCCAGAGGGGAGGCTGACTACCGAGACACTCCAACACCCCTTCATTCAGGAATATATGGGTAGTTGTCAACATTATAGTTCTTTTTTGGGTACCCCGAGGGACCCAAACAGGAAACATAATTTTGACAACCACCCATATGGTAATTTAAAGCTCCGAAACTACAGACGTGACCGATTTCATTTAGAAGCCTTTTACAGTTAGAGTCGGGTTCAAGGGCTTCTTACGGGGTTATAGCTGCAAGGGCACTCTGAGTGGATATTTGTTTCAAACGCTCCCAACACTGTAGCAAACAAAAACCCTACACCCCCAAACCCTAAACTCAATGCTCCCGCCACTATAATACAGGGGCCTTAATAATAAGATACGGTTTCGGGGCCCATTATACGATAATGATAATGAGGATCCCCCAAAATAGTATAGGCAACTGCTACGGCCCCTCTAGTAGTTTTGCATCCTTCAGTTTTGAGCTCCCGAAAAGCTCAGCAAGGAAGCCTCAAGTGGCGAGCAGGACCCTGAAGGTCCAGCGAACATTAGGGCTTCAGAGAAACCCTGAAACCCTACATGGAGGATCATGGGACTTAGTAAGTAAGGTTATAAATAAGGTAGCTATATCATAAGTACTTATAACCCCAATTAAGGCACTTATAACCCTACTTACCAAGTCCCATGATCCTCCAAGTTGGGCTTCAGAGAAGCCCTGAAACCCTAACCTCTTGAGGTTACTGGGATCCTGTTCAGGGCTCAATTAAGCTACCCTAATAAGGAACAAAAGAAAAAGTAAGGTTTCCTGAAAATGGTACCTTAAACAAACCTCTTAACAAGAACACAGGTCAAGGGCATTCCTCGTTGGATGTAAGTACCCATTAAGATGCAAAATGTTACCCAACTATGACAAAGGCAAGGTTTAGGGCTTCGGGGTTGAAGCTCTGATTCCCTAAACCTAAACCCTAAACCCCCAAAACCTTAAACCCTACTGCTTCTCCCGTTATAGGCTTTGGGGCTTAGAGTTTAAGTTTTTTTCGGGTGTGGTTTAGAGTTTAGAATTTGTTTGGGGGAGGGTTTTTGGTTCAGGGACCCCAAACCCTAAAACCCAAACCTACCCGACGTAGAAGGAAGAGAAGCTCGGTTACTACAGCGTGCGCCTTGCGCTTGATGCTCGCCGCGATCCTCTGAACCTCGCGTTTTCTGTCCGGTCGTCGGAGCACCTGGCTGCTAACCCAAGGAAGCCTGACTTCGGGTTTAGGGCTGAGGGTTTAAGGTTTAGGGGTTGGGGTTTGAGGCTGAGGGTTCAGGGTTTAGGGTTTAGGGTTCAGGGTTTAGGGCTTACTTGGAGGATCATGACTTAGAAAGTAAGGTTATAAGTACCCTAATTGGGGTTTTAAGTAGTTATAAGTATAGTTGCCTTATTTATAACCCCACTTACTAAGTCCCATGATCCTTCAAGTAGGGTTTACGGCTGCTAACCGAAGGAAACCCGACTAAGAACTCGGAGCCTGCGTCAAATACCAGTTTCGAGGTCAGGTGCGGTGCATTGCCAGAAGATCTCTAAGTTTGGGGAGCAGATACTTGGAGGGTCATGGGACTTAGTAAGTAAGGTTATAAGTACCTTAACTGGGATTATAACTACAAGTAGCTATAAGTATACTTACCACAATTACAAGGCATCTGCAGAGCAGAATGCAAGGAATCTACGCACCTGAGGCCGGTACGATCTAACATGCAAAGTGGGAGTTTCCGAAAATGAAAGGTACCTTATTTTGGGATCCTCTTAATAAGGATCCTACTATTTAGGGTGCTATATTAGGGCCCCCTATTTTAGGAACCTCCAACATGGACTTAGGGCTAGTTTCAAGGCCCCTTCGCGACGGAAGTAGGGCTTCGCTGGCCACACCGACATGGGAGCTTCCGAAGATTAGGGGTACCCTTAAAGGGATCCCTTTAGGCTTCCTCAAAGGGATCCATAAGAGTTCTATAAAGAGTTTAGGGCTTACAGTTTCCGAAAATTAGGGACACCTCATTTTGGGGGTCCTTGTAACAAGGATCCTAGTATTTAGGGTACTATATTAGGGTCCCCTATTTTCGGAAACTCCCAAATCATCCAAAGGAATGGCTTCCGCAAGCCCGACACACCACAACGACCTCATGCCATCGGACCTGCCGAGGTCTGGCATGTTCGTTCTGCACCTCCGGTTCCTCTTCCTCCTCCTC